GCTAGGATTACAGGCGTGAGCCACAGCGCCCCGCCTTTTTTTTTTTTTTGAGACAGAGTCTCGCTTTGTTGTCCAGGCTAGAGTGAGTGCCATGGCGTCAGCCTAGCTCACAGCAACCTCAACACTTATAGTACAATTAATTTAAATTTTTTTTTTTTTTTTTCAGACAGTGTCTTGCTGTGTCGCCCAGGCTTGAGTGCAGTGATGTGATCATAGCTCATTGCACTCTCCAACTCCTGGGCTCAAGCGATCTTCCTGCCTCAGCTTCTGGAGTAGCTGGGATTACAGGAACGCCAAAACACCTGACTATTTTTTTAATTGATTTTATTTTTATTTTTTTGCAGCAGACTGGCTCGCGATATGTCGCTCAGGCTGGTTTTGAACTCCTGAGCTCAAGCAATCCTGCCTCAGCCTCCCAAAGTGCTAGGATTACAGGCATGACCACGACGTGGGGCAGATTTATCTTAACCACCACTATTATCATTTTTTACTCATTCTTCTGTAAAAAAGACTGAGCCCCAGGGAGGCCAGGCAATTTGCCAGTGGTCATACAAATGAGTTTGACAACAAAGTGTGTGCACTTTTCACCATATTACTGCTGTCTTATTTCAAAGGAGTAAATAACACATTCCAGGCAGGAGTGGAGGAGGTGGAAGGTATTTTGGGGAAGAAGGCCATTGGACATAGTCTTTACAAATCCTGGGTGTGAGAGGCGTCTCCTCCTCCTCTTGCATTAGTTCAAGCCACTTCCCTTAGCATCCTGGTCTCAGCTGAGGATCCATAAGCCAGAAGTTTAGGATCCAGTAGTGCTGAGTTTCCCAGCCTACCTCTTCACGTTTTCTCAATGCTGAGAAGATGTTAGCAGAACAGGGTGCTTCATGCACTAGTTGCTGAGCTGGTTTCTGGAAGACCCAGTCAGGATGGAGAAGCCATGAAGCCAACCCTCATGTCAAGGCCACATTATGACTTTTGTGGGCTCTAGGCATTTCTGCCTTCTTGGGTCTGTTCTTCCAAAAAAATTAAAAAATGAGTGTGTTGGTATAAAGGGGAATATAATCTGGGAAGAATTATATTAACTTTTTCTTCCTGTTTCAAAAGAAATTAAGACATTTTTATAGGCCCCTAAAATTATGGTGGACCCCTGGTGCTGTGGCTGCTGTGCTCCTGCCTCGTGTTCCCAGAGTGGGGTGGGTAGGAAATCAGCTAACAAATGGTTGGTTCACTTTCTTTTTCTTTTCTTTTCTTTTCTTTTCTTTTCTTTTCTTTTCTTTTCTTTTCTTTTCTTTTCTTTTCTTTTCTTTCCTTTCCTTTCCTTTCCTTTCCTTTCCTTTCCTTTCCTTTCCTTTCCTTTCCTTTCCTTTCCTTCTCTTCTCTTCTCTTCTCT